TCATCATCATCATCATCTCACCATCATCATAATCATAATCATAATCATATTCATAATCATCATCACCATCATCATCAACAACATCAACATCATCATCATTACCATCGCCATCATCATCATCATCATCATCATCATCATCATCATCATCATCATCATCATCATCATCATCATCATCATCATCATCATCATCATCATCGTCCTGTTCCCCCTCTGCCTCCTCCTCCTCCTCCTCTTCCTCCTTCTCTTTCTCGTCCTGCCTCCTCCTCCTCCTCCTCCTCCTTCTCATCCTCCTCCTCCTCCTCCTCCTCCTCCTCCTCCTGCTCCTCCTCATCCTCCTCCTCCTCCTCCTCCGCCTCCTCCAGCTCCTACTCCTCCTCCTCTTCCTCGTGGGGAACACGACCTAGAAGAAACGCATGACGTGTTTTCTACTCGTCCTCTGGCGCGCGCTTCCTCTGCGCCGGAAGACGACCCAGTGGAAGCGCGCGCCGGAGGACGACCTGGAGAAAGCACGTGAGCTGCGGGCCCCATAGGGAGGGGGCTCCCGCGTAACTTCCAGGCAATTTACACAGACGAGGCTTCCGCCTGATACCTCCTCCATATGCAGGTCTCAAGGGCCCAAATGTGACGACAGTTGCAGGAGGCCGATGACCCGCTCGAATTACTCATATGAGCTTCGGGCCCCATAGGGAGGGGGCTCCCGCCTGAGACTTCCTCGCAATTCACTCACAGACGAGGCTCCCGCCTGATACTTCCTCCATGTACAGGCCTCAGGGGCCCAAATGTGACGACAGTTGCAGGAGGCCGATGACCCGCTCAGATTACTCACATGAGCTTCGGGCCCCATAGGGAGGGGGCTCCCGCCTGAGACTTCCTCGCAATTCACTCACAGACGAGGCTCCCGCCTGATGGTTCCTCTATGTTCAGGCCCCAGGGGCCCAAATGTGACGACAGTTGCAGGAGGCCGATGACCCGCTCGGATTACTCATATGAGCTTCGGGCCCCATAGGGAGGGGGCTCCCGCCTGAGACTTCCTCGCAATTCACTCACAGACGAGGCTCCCGCTTTGGTGGGTAGGTGGGTGGGTGAGTGGGTGGGTGGGCGAGTGAGTGAGTGATGATGATGATGAGTGTAAATGAGTGAATGTGCGAGTGATGACGACAATGGTGATGATAGTGTGCGTGAGTGGGTGAGTGGGTGAGTGCGAGTGATGATGGTGCGTGTGAGTGATTGAGTGAGTGTGCGAAAGGAGAAGAGAGAGAGAGGGGGAGAGGAGGAGAGATTCTACGCGGAGGGTGTGCAGAGAAAACAAGAGCCCCACTTTGGATGTGAGAAAAAATAGTACATCACAAAGGCGAGGCTGTAGAATTGGAGCAGAAGCGCTAGCGTAGCCCCAGACGCGAGCGCGCTGTGCAGAATTACCAGGAGCTCGTCGGTGCGGAATCCACGCTCGATGGACTTCCCCGCCTCCACGAAGACCTGCGTTGCTCCTACCTCTGGTACGTCGTAGAGTGGATTCGAATCAATCAAGAAGGAGACGACGGAGAAGTTGTTGTTCTTGGAGCGGACATAAGCCCGAACATGAGCACGGCGAAGATGCTCGTCGCTTTTCCCTCCACGTTGGGGCTGTCTTCGGGCAGCTCCCCCGACGACGCGAACTGCAAATCGATCTCCACCGCGCGCTGCAGCACGCGCGCCAGGGCCTCGACGCCTTGGACCTGGCGGCAGAAGCATGCGCATCTGCAAGCGCCCGCAAGCCCGGCAAGCAGAATCAAGCACACTGCGAAGCCTAACCCTGGGGCCAAGAAGAATAGCGCCATGACATCGCCATCGGCCGCGTGGCGTTGCCCACTGAGCAGCCAACTGGTGACCCCCTTGCCTGCTGCCTGCCTGCAATTCTCGAAACTTTCCAGGTCGAACTCCTCGCGTGGCATGAAGTCGGGCACTTCCGCTCGGTCGCAGTCAGCCCGCGCGCTTCTCGGAAAACTGTCATCGCTCAGCGTTTTCGCCGCAGGAACGTAATCTAATCTGAATTCAAACCATGCAAAATACGCAAAAACGTAGATGATCCCGGGGGTCAGAATACCACCCTCCCGGGGCCCATGGCCCGCCCTCTCCCTCCCATGGAGGTGGGTCCTGGGGGGCCGCCGGGAGGGGGGGTCCGGGTCAGGCCCAGAGTACCACCCTCCCGAGACCCATGGCCCGCCCTCTCCCTCCCATCTCCGTCGAGGGCTGAGGCCTCCAGGGTCGGCGGCACCGGCCGTGAAGCCCTAGCAATGTGCACTCAGCCCATGCAAGGTACCCAGAAGCGCAGATGGCACGATACGCGCCCGGACCCCCGCCACCAGGAGGGGCTCGAGCGCCGCTCGCGGCCCACGCTAAAACGGCTACGGATCAGGCACTTTCGGAGTGCTCCTGGGTCTGCGCTTAGGTGGCCCCGTGGACCCCAACCCCGTGCCGTCTCGTGGCGGTCGTCGAGATACTGTCACGCGAGCGCGTGCCGCAAGCAGGAGCCCCTTCGCCAAAGGCCCACAAGGCCCCACGGCGGCACTCACAAGGAAGGAGGCTTCACGGGTGGAGGGCCCGGGCAGGGCGGATGGTAAGGTTACCCCCCAGCGCCGGGGTTGTTATACACTCCAGATTTCGTAATGAAGGGAGGGGGGGGTCATTTCGGGGGGGGTCTTCCAGGCCATCTTGGAGGGCCTGGGGGGTCTGGGGGCGATGTTTGGGAGGGTTCTCCCGCGGAGGGAGGCCTGAAATGGCTTGTCTTGGAGGGTCCAGACCCCCTCCCTCATTACGAAATCTGGAGTACGAAGAAGAGCTGCACGAGCGTGAACTCGCGGAAGCCCGCGCGGACTTCTTGGGTCTGCGCTGGACCAGCCCGAGTGGCACCCGAGGCGCCGCCAGGGGGGTCGCGCGTACCTCCGAAAGTTTACGGTTATGGACATGATACGGCTCTTGCTCTTCTCGAGGCCGAAACAGTGCTTCATCTTCGATGCTCCTAACCCTCGTGCAAACTGCACGTGTGGACCCGATCGGCCCGGGCGTTGCTCCATCGGGAGGGCAACTGACGGGGGGGGCGGAAAAAGGTACACCTTTCTTGCGCCTCCAAGGCCCCAGGAGGGCTCCCTGCAACCGAGTCCCCAACACCCCCCCTCCACCACGGGGAAGCCAAGAAGATGACGATACCGCCCTGCCTCGGACCTCTCCAGGGGTGCGTTCTGGCCAGAACTCCGAGGCGGCTCCAGCCGCGGGAACGGGGGCCTCCCTCGAGGCACCAGAAGGCGAGAACGAGCGTAGGATACCGGCATGAGTGCCGTCTCCTCCCCAGACGTGTATCGCCCCCCCCCACATATTACGAAACACCCGATCGACCCTCGAGTATCGAACTCCAGGTGCGCCCCGCCCCGAGCTGGGGCAGCTGGCGACGGGCGTGGAGGGATAGAAAACGGCAACCGTAACAAAGACTGAACGCAGAAACGTCGGTGTCGAGCTTGGTCACCGTCCACCTTGGTCACCGTCAATTCGTGGATCATCCTCGCGAGTCGGCGGCGGCCAGCATGGACCATTACTAAGATCGGCGTCGACACGATGACGCAATGTCTTGGTCATGGGCATGATCTTTAGAGGAGCAACAGAAAGCATGAACATACACTTTCGGAGACCCCCGCGGACTTCTTGGATCAGCGCTGGACCGCGCCAGGGGCGGCGCTGGAGGAGCCGCCAGGGGGTCCCAGCGCTGATCCCAAGAACTCCGCGCGGAGCTCTGAAAAGGTATGCTTCTGCCTCAAGTAGGAGGCTCGACTACCGAATTGATTTACCCCAAAAATTAGACTCGACGTCGAGTCCACAACAAAGACGTAAGATGTTCGCAAATCTACGAACATGTCACGTATGTTTGCAGACTCGACGGGGGAAAAAGAAACTGTTGGGTAAATCTGCTCTGTGCAGGGAAGCCGGAAAAAGTGGAAGTTGGAAAATCAGTGAAAGTGGAAGTGGCCAGGGCTGGAAAACTGGCAGTGGGTGAAGCGAGCCCGAAACAGTAGGGATACGGGGTCGGCAGGGCTGGAAACAATACACGGCAACAGGCCAGGGCCAGAAAGAGTGGAAGGACTAGCCCCAGTCACTTTTTCCAGCTTCCATGTAGTCGATCTCCTACTCGAACGCCGTGCCTCGGCGGCCAAGGCTGGCGCGCGCCTCTGGGGCCCTCGCGTGGGGGAATCCAAAGGGGGGACCTGCTGGGGGGGGAGGGGGGGAGGCCTCCTCCTCCTCCTCCTCCTCCTCCTCCTCCTCCTCCTCCTCCTCCTCCTCCTCCTCCTGCTCCTCCCTCCTCCTCCTCCTCCTCCTCCTCCCGCTCCTCCTCCTCCTCCCTCCTCCTCCCTCCTCCTCCCTCCTCCTCCTCCCTCCTCCTCCTCCTCCTCCCTCCTCCTCCTCCTGCTCCTCCTCCTCCCTCCTCGGACGCCGTGCCTCCTGCTCCCCCGCTCGCTTCCCTCAATGGGCCGGGCGCGCCCACTCCCCCGGGGGGCGGCGGGCGGGGCCCTCCTCGGGCCCGAGCCGGCGCCGCCGCCGACGACCTGCGGCGCGCCGAGGCGGCGTGCGGCACGGCCCGTCGCCGCCACCCCTCGAGGCTCGCGGGGCCGAGGACTCGAGGAGCCGAGGATTCGAGGATCGAGGACTCGAGGATCGAGGAGTCAGGATCGAGGACTCGAGGATCGAGGACTCGAGGATCGAGGACTCGAGGATCGAGGACTCGAGGATCGAGGATTCGAGGATCGAGGACTCGAGGATCGAGGATTCGAGGATCGAGGACTCGAGGATCGAGGATTCGAGGATCGAGGACTCGAGGATCGAGGACCCCAGGATCGAGGACTCGAGGATCGAGGACTCGAGGACTCGAGGACTCGAGGATCGAGGATTCGAGGATCGAGGACTCGAGGATCGAGGGTTCGAGGACTCGAGGGTCGGGGATTCGAAGATCGAGGACTCGAGGGTCGGGCATTCGGTCGGTCGGTCCGTCGGAGTCGCAGGCTGCGGGCAGCCCACGGACGCTTGCAGGGGCACGCAGGTCGGCGGCGCTGCGTGCCCGCAGAAATCCTAAAGTGCCCCCAAAAAACGACCCTGGGAGCCTGCAGAGCGGCATGCAGGGAGGCCTCCTAGATGGGGTCGGAACAGATGGGGTCGGAGGATCGCGCCGCATCGCCGATACATCGGCGATGCATCGGCGATGTATTGGCGATGCACCGGCGACGCATCGTCGACGTGGGCGCTGCATCGGCGACGTCGACGTGAAGCGCATCGGGCCCCACATCGAGCCGCATCGCCGACGCATCGGCGATGCGGAGTGATCCTTGGACCCCATCCACTCCGACCCCGTCTAGGAGGCCCGAAATGCGGGGGAGACGTGGACAAACAAAAAAAGAGGAGGGGAAGAGGAGGGGGAGGGCTGAAATGCAGGGGAGACGTGGACAAACAAAAAGAGGAGGGAAAGAGGAGGGGGAGGGGCGGGGCGAGAGGGCCGGGCGCCGCGACTCGTCGTCAGAGCCTGCCGGGGCCAGCCCCGCTCACGAGCAGCGTCGTGACCACCGCGCACGGGGGTCCTCCACACGCGCTCCGCCGGCGCCGGGGCGGAGGGCCGCGAAAGAGGCCCTGCCCACCGGGGAGCGTCGGAATAAAACCTAGGGCTCCCAGCTTCGCGCTTCGCGTTCTCCTTCTCCTTCTCCTCCTTCTCCTCCTCCTCCTCCCTCCTCCCACCCTTGCCGTGAGGAGGAGGAGGAGGAGGAGGAGGAGGAGGGAGGAGGAGGAGGAGGAGGAGGAGGAGAAGGAGGAGGAGGACTTCGCGCGCTCTCGCGCCGCCCCCCCCCCAAGGGAGAGAAAAGGAGGACGAGGGGGAGAGGGGGAGAGAAGGAGCGAGGACCGCGAAGCGCGAGGCGCGAGTAGCATCGCGCCCTCGTGGGAGCCCTTGTAAAACCGTGCGGCGAACCCAATCTTTGCACGGCCTGCCAAACCGGCGCGCGTGACGGTCCGTGGCTGGCTGGCACGCTCCTGGCATAAAAGAATGAGGATTCTTGGATCCGAGGACTCGAGGGTCGGGAATCCGAGGCTCGAGGACTCGAGGCTCGAGGACTCGAGGATCGAGGCCTCGAGGACCGAGGACTCGGGTGCCGAGGACTCGAGGACTCGAGGCCTCGAGGCTCGAGGCCTCGAGGCTCGAGGCCTCGAGATATCCGAGGCCTCGAGGCCCGAGGCCCGAGGCTCGAGGCTCGGGGCCCGAGGCCGCGAGGCCCGAGGCTCTCTCCGGCACGCCGCGGGCCTCCCGAGGGGGCCCCCTCCCAGGAGGGGCCTCCGCCGGGCCTCCGCGGGGGGCCCCCGCGCGCTGGGCCTCGGCCGCAGTCGGCCGCGGCCGGCGCCGGCGTCCACCGGCAGGGGGGCAGCCGAGGACTCGAGGGGAGGGCATTTCCTTCCGATTGCTGTGTCAAAGAGCTCTGTAGCTTATCTCCAGCTCGAGTTGAGTCAAGAGATCCATCATCATCTGGGGTCGCGGGCAGGGGGGAGGGAGGGAAAGGAGGAGGGGGGGGAACAGGAGGGGGGGGGGGGACAGGAGGGGGGGGAGCAGGGGGAGGCCAAGGGGAGGGTAGCAGGGGTCGCGGGCAGGGGGGAGGGCGGGGGGGGGGAACAGGAGGGGGGGGGACAGGAGGGGGGGGGAGCAGGGGTCGCGGGCAGGGGGGGGGAAACGGGCGGGGGGGAGGGCAGGGGTGGAGGGGGGGAACGCTGGAGATGCACGCGCGGCGTGCGGAGCCCGATGCGCACGGCTGTGCGTGCCGGCGCGACCTGCTCCTCGTGCCATACGCAACGGCCAGAGCAAGGCGGGGCAGGGAAAAACAGCAATGGCCAGCAACGAGAACACCAGCGGTCAACAGAGAGCCGGCAAATCCCG